GCAAGGTGGTGCTGAACTCGTCCTCTCTGGCGTGCCCATGTGGAAGCGTGGAGGTGGGGGCTGTGGCTCGTGTGGCACGGTGGGCGTGATGTCCTCAATCGGCAGACGTGGGGGGGTGCTGGGACAGGCTTCCTCGTCGCGGCTGAGGTCGATGAACAGGGTCGTCACGGGTGTTCTGGCTGGCTGTAGCTGCTGCTGTGGGCTCTTGTTTGGCGTGAAGGGCGTGACGGGTGGGAAGATGCCGAGCATAGGCGTGGGTTGCTCCGTCGGGACGGGTGAGTCGGCTGCTAGCGTTGGTGAGAGTGAGGCAAGGTCCGTCGGTGCTTCGTCCTCCTTCTCCTCGTGTGAGTCTTGGCCCATCTTCGGCTCTTCCTCCTGGAGGTCCGCGTCGTCGGATTCACCGATTGGGATGCAGTCGCTGCTTGCCCGCACGCCGAGTTGACCCTCCTCCATCGCCTCCTCAGCCGCGGCCCTTTCTCCTTCTCCCAGTCCCAGGCTGGCCAAGTGTCGGAATGGGTCGCAGTTGGCGTGCTCCTCGATGGGCGGGTGCTGAGGTGGCCGTAATGGTGGCGGCGGGAGCTCCTCTGCAGGTGGCCTCGGCGCGAACTTCAAGTCCAGCAAGCTGAAGTCGCTGTTCAGTGTGAGGCTCGACTCCTCTGGCGTCGTCCTCGACGATGTATGTGACCTCTCTCCTGGCCCCACCATGGCCAGCTCCTCGATGTGCGACGGCAGCTCGGGATGTGGGGGCTCGTACTGACTAGGGAGCAGTCGGAGTAAATCTGCCTCCAGTTGCCCTCTCTGGTACTTGTCCTCCTGGTCCGCCATGACTTGGTCGCGCTCAGTTGTGGCCGAATCCTCCATGAGGTCGTCCGTCATGTCGACTAGCAGGTCCTCATCCACCTGTCCTCCTGCACTCCAGGCGTCCCGTAGAGCGTTCTGGAGTCCAGCTGTCTGCCGATCGTGCTGCCGTTGGAGATCTTGCAGTTGCTGCTGCCTCTGTATGTCGTTCATGCGCTGGATGTGGGCGTGGTGCTGTATCGCGGCCTGCATCTCCTGCTGGTGCTTGTGCTGCAGTGTGCTGTGATACTGCTGAGTCGCATGGTTCTCCAACCTCTGCTGGTGTTGTACGACCTGGAGTTCGCTCGTGGCTGCTGCTTGCCGCTGCAATGCCACCTCCTCTATCCTGCTAGCTCTGTCCTCAGCTTCCTGCTGCTCTCCGACGCGCTCCAAGTACCCCTCCTGCTCGTACTGCATCTCGTGGGCCTTCGCCTGGATGGCTGCGTGCTCCAGGTTCAGGATGACCCGCATCGCCTCACGCCTGTTGGACTCCTCCTGGTGCTCGTGGACCATCCGCTGGCAAGCCAATGCGATATGCTGCTCCTCTTCTTTGTGAGCGCTGCGTCGCGCGCAACGCTCCTGGTATTCCGCTGCCGCCACCTCCTGCATTACCCTTTCAGTGTGTTCCTGCGCCGTTTTGTGCCACTGGGCCTCTTGAGCCGCCATCTGTCGTATCGCCTGCTCCTCCTGCCTGGCCTTCTCGACCTGCTGCGTGTAGATGGCTGCTCTTCTCTGGTCCTCTTGCTGCATCTCCTCGCGTAGCATCTTCTTTTCCGCTTCGAGGTGCTTCTGCAAGTCCACGAGCATCCCTTTGGCCCTCTCCTCCTGTGTCCTCTGGCTGCCTCTCTGCGCCTCGTATGCCTTCGCTTCCTCCTCCTCCAGCTTGGCGGTGTGCTGTCTCTTGAGCGCCTTGACCTCCCACGTGTGCCACTCCTGCTGCTTGGCCAGCTGGGCTTCTGTCGTGCGGAGCACCTTTTGCGCCATCGTCTGCTCGCAGGCCTTCAGCTCGCTCTTGTGCTTGAGCTCCGCTTGCACCAGCATGTCGCGTTGCTGCTGCTCCCTCTTCTGCTGCAGGTCGAGCATCTCGGTCAGCTTCCTGATGGCGTCCTTGATCTCGTCATTGTTGTCGGCGTTGGTCCTTCCTGCCGGTGGCCGGGCTTGTCCTCCTGACCTTCGCTCATCCTCGTCTTTGTTGCCTTTATGTCGTGTTTCATGCTGTGCTGGAGCTGCTGGTGCTGCTGCTGCTGCTCCTGAGGGGGGAGCTACTGCCCTGGTTGACTGAGCTGCCGCTGGTGCAACTGGTGCTGCAGCTGGGTCGCGCCTCCTCCTCCTCGCGGCTGGGTGTGGCGTGCGTCCTCTGGTGCGATCATCTCACCCATCCTCCTCCGACGTCTCTTCCTTTACGCCCGCCGCTTTGGCCATTTGGTCCCTGGTCTCCCTCAGCAAGGTCTTGTAGATCTTGATGGTTCGGGCGGCCGCAGCCTCCTGGTCGAGCAACGTGTTGAGCCGCTTCTCCATCTCGGTGTGATCCTCCTCCAGCCTTTCCAGTGTAGCCCTGAGCTGCTTCATGCGCTCCTTGTGGGGCAGGACGAAGGAGATGTTCGTGGCTGTGGTCGCCGCTTCCTGCTCGAGGTTTTTCGTGCACAGGCCTGCCGACCTGGCGCCAGCGATGTTCTCGGCGAGGCGGCCCAGTCTCTGGCACTTCGCCTTATACCACACATAGCGCATCTCCTCGTCGTCGGGTGGGGCGGACCAGCTTTCGTGCTCCATCGCAACGGCGAAGGTGACTGGCGTGATGCTGTCCAGGACCTCCTTCTGCTGCAGGCTGTACTGAAAGTTGCCGATGCGGGCTGCCGTTGGTGCATCCTGCTGGTCCTTCCTTCTGCGCCTGCTGTTCCTCCTCTTGGTTGAAGTACTCCTCCATGGTGCACTGTCCTTCCAGTGCTGAGCGTTGTCGCTTCGCTGCTGGTATTGGGCTTGTTGTTGTTGGTGCTGGTGGTGGGCTTGCTGCTGTTGGTGGTTGTGGGCGTGTTGTTGGTGCTGGCTGTGCTGCTGCCTCTGTGCGTTGTGCTGCTGGTATCCGTTGTGCTGGCGTTGGTAGTGCTGGTTGTCACCTCGGGCCCATACCCAGGGTCGTCCTCCAACGGCTCCAACGTCTCCAGTCCATGAGTCTCTGTCGACTGACTTGGCGCGCTGCTGGCGTTGGTGCTGCTGCGGCGCCTTCGTAGTCATCGCGAGGTCGTGAGGCTGCTGCTGCTGGTACTGTGGCTGCTGCTGCTGGTACTGTGGCTGCTGCTGGTGCTGCTGATGGCGCTGGTGCTGCTGCGCTGAGTGGTGGGCGTTGAGGACGTTGGCTGCCTCCACCACCCGCAGCAGAGCCCTTGCCGAGGAGCGGCGGGCCCTCTCCCGCCTGTGCCAGGCGGGCTCCTGGGGCGTCTGGCCCCTCCTGGCGCGCCAGCAGGCGCGCAGCCAGGCGCAAGGTCGCGGCTGCGGCGGCGACTATCGCCGACCCGCCGCGGCGCGCGAGCCCGGCCCCGCGGGCGGCCGATCCCGATTGGCGTGAGTCGATCGGCGCGATCAGACGATCAGGCCGAACGGAAGATCGTTCACGGCCCAGCCCGCCAGAGGCCAGATGGGCTTCCTCCTCCTCCTCCTCCTCCTCCTCCTCTCCTCCTCCTCCTCCTCCTCCTCCTCCTCCTCCTCCTCCTCCTCCCCCTTCTCCTCCTCCCCCCCACCCCGCGCCGCCATGGCGCCGCCCGCGGTGCCGCCGCCGCCGCCTGGAGCTGGCTGGCGCCTCTAGCATCCAGCCCCCAAATGACGCAGCGGCAGGTGCGCACAGGGGAGTTCCCCCGAAGTGCCCTCCTATGGCGCACCAGGCATCTCGCGAGACTCCGCGCTTCTGCCGCAGGGGGGCAGGGGGGCGGTGGGCGTCAGGGTCCTGATGAAGGATCGGATGGCAGCATCTTGCTCGTGGCGGCCCTCACCCCTCCCGCGCCCGCGTCGGCGCAGCCCCGCGCGGTCACCACGCGCCGCCGCCAGGACCCACCCCTGGCCTCGCACCCAGCAGGCGCCGACCCGGCGCAGCGGGGCCTGCCGCAGCTCGGCCACGTGGCGAACAGTCGGCGGCACCACTTGCACCCGGCAGGTTTCCGGGGCTGCTGCGGCGGCGCGCTGCTGCAGCACTTGGCCCCCCCCAGCGCTCTCAGCGCCTGCAGCCCCGTCTGGCCGCACCGGCGCACTCGCCGTGGAAGTGTCTCTCCCTCAAAGCCCGCCCTGCCCTCCCCGATTGCACATGGCTCATTGCTAGGTCTTCGGGAGTTCCTTGACTTTTTGGGGGGGCCGAGATCCTCTCTCTCACTTCTGCTTGTTCTATCCTGGGCCTCCTCCTGGCCACCAGGGGGGCCAGGAACAATGAGAAGCGAAACGAGCACGATCAGAAACGAAGGACGTGCAGTGAGCCGTGCGTCCCCGAGTACTGCGGGCGCCCGCGTGGATCGCCTCTGCAGCGCCGCGACCCCCCCCCAAAAAAGGTGCCGCCATTCGTCCGCGTACGTGCCTCGGGCCACGGTGCGCCGGCCCGCCTCCTGCTGGCCCCCTCGTCGGCGCACCCGCGAAGAGCGTGGTCGAAATGGAGGCCGGGCGATTCTGGCAGGCAGCTTTGCCAGAGCCGGGACGCCCGAAGATCGCCGGAGACACACACGGACAGCTGCATGGGCCGAAGAGGGGGGAGGGTGTGAAACCAGGGGGGCACGAGGAGGAGGCGGAGGGATGGTGGATCAAGCGGGAGCAGGAAAAGGGAGAGAGGATGACGATGAGGAGGATGAGGAAAAAGAGGAGGAGGAACGAGGAAGGATAATTGGTAAAAGGGAGGAGGTAGGAGACGGGAGGGGCGATGCTGAGATCCTCGATGATACAGGCGGCATCAAATGCCCCCCCCCCCCCCCTTGACGTCCCTGCTTTGTGTTTTCGAGCCCTCGGCGAAGACCTCGTGGCATCATCGTTTCTTATCATGACACGGCGGTATGGAGAATTGTTTTCGGGCGGGCCGCTCGGTGAGCATCTCGTGCACTCTCGGATTCCATCCCATTGCCCCGAAATGCACCATTGTTCCTTGCTTCATCAGCGTTTGCGCGAGCGGATGCTGAGCCACTGGCCAGTCCCAGTCTGCTACAGTGCTGCAATCAGCGCGTGCGAGAAAGCGGGGGAATGGCAGCCTGCGTTGTTTATGCTCGGCCGTGCTCAAGAGGAGCTCGAGCTCGACACGGGCATCATCCCCTACAACGCTGCCATAGGCGCATGCGAAGGAGAACTGCAGTGGCAGCGGGCGCTGTTAATCTTCGCGAGCGCACGGGAGGCACGGCTGGAGGTCGACATTTGGGGTTACGACCTCTCGATCAACGCATGCGGGCGAGCGGGACAGTGGCAGCAGGCGCTGTCGCTGTTGAGCGGGATACGCGAGATGGCGGTGCAGGCAAGCGTGATCAGCTACAACAACGGGATCAACGCTTGCAGGGTACAGGGACAGTGGCGGCAGGCTGTTTTCTTCCTCGGTGAGATACGAGACACGATGTTACAGCCGAACCTTATCGGTTTCAATTGCGGGATCGGAGCGTGCGAGAAACATGGGCAGTGGCAGCGGGCATTGTCGTTGTACAGTGAGGTATGGGAGACGAACTCGGAACCAGACGTCATCGGGCAGACGTCAAACGTGAAGGGATTGGTGAGCGAGATCGGACAGAGTGGGCAGAGTGAGCAAGCTTTGGATTCGCTCACTCAAATTGAAGGGCGAACGACGTTGGAGCTGGACGTCTTCAGCTGCAACAGTCAAATCAGGGCGCGTGACAAAGGCGGGCAGCAGCAGCAGGCGTTGTCATTGCTTCGTGAGCTGCGGGAGGCGAAGCTCGAGCCGAACGCCATGAGCTATGGCGCAGGCATGAGAGCTTGCGAGACGGGCGGGTTATGGCGGCAGGGGCTAGCACTGCTCCGCGAAATCGGGCAGTCGACGTTGGGGCCCGACATCTTGCACTACAACAGCTGCAGCAACGCATGCCATGCGAGCTCTCAGTGGCAGCAGGCCGTGTTGCTGCTCCGCGAGCTGTCAGAGGCGGGGCGGGCGCCGGGTGTCAGCAGCCTCGGTGTCGGATGCGGCGCCTGCGAGAGGAGCGAGCAGCAGCAGAAGGCACTGCTGTGGCTCGCTGAGGCGTAGCGCGAGCGCGGGGCACTGGCAGCGCCGGTGGGAGCTGGAAAGCGGCTCTCCCTCCCCCTCCCCTTCACGCACGCTCTCCTTCCCCTCCCTTAACCTTCTTTCGGCCCTCCCCATCCCTTCCCTCGTCGTCCTCCCTCCCCTCCCCTCGCCCCTCCCTACCTCCCTCGTCGTCCCTGCAATTTCAAAAGAGCACCTCCCTCGAACGGGAGGGGGCGATCAGTGCGGAGAGGCGCAAGACCATCGCAGCCAGCAGGCAGCCGAACCGGCTGTCATGCAGTGGAGAGTCTTTCGCACTGCAGTAGATGCCGAGCCTCTCCGCCTCTCATGACACAGCACACACATACGTCTCCCTCCCCTCCTGGGGCCGAACGGTCTCACCCGTCGGCGGCGAGCGAGGGGGGGAATTGAGAAGGAGAAGGCCTTCTCAGAAGGCGGCGGGACTTCTCAGAAGCCCTCGCGCCTTCTGTGTCTCCGGGGAAGGCTTAGAAAACTTCTCAGAAGTCCGGCTGACTTCCGAGCCTTCTGCGCAGACATGCCCCTTCTCACTTCCCCCCCTGGCTCGCCGCCTAACCCGCCGTTTGTCACGCCCGGTCGGCTTCGCCCTCGGTCAGTTTCGCCCGGTCGGTCTCGCTCAGTCGCTTTCACCCGCGGCTTCGCCCGGTCAGCTCTGCCGGCGGTCGGCTTCGCCGGCCTCGCAGGCGACATTCTTCGCCCGCGCTCGGCTGCGCCAGTGGCGTCCGCCCGCCAGTCGCCGAGCGCGCTGCACTACTCGCAAAGTGCCTATGTACTTGCCAACGTCCGAATAGCACATGGCTGCTTTGATGTAGTTTATCGTAGATCCCTCGCGGTGCATCCAGGCCATCTGCTAGCAGCTACTCTGCGAGCAGTGGAGCGCGCTCGTCCAGTGAGGGTCCGCTTGCCCGAGCAGCCCGGCAGGATCCGCCCGCCCGGCCCGTCCGTCGAGGTTCGCAGGGTCACCGCTTGGCAGGCCCGACGCGCCCATCAGGGCACGCCCGCCCGATCCACCCAGCTGGCTCCGCGGGTGCTTTGGCCCGCAGGCGCGCCTCCCCGCGGGAGCATCCCGCCCGCCCAGCCCGACCGCCTTGCTGCCCCACGCGCCCGTCCCGCCCGCGGCGGCGGCGAACGCGCAGGCGAGATCGGCGCCGCTCGACGATCGACTGCACGTAGGAGTGCCCCTTCGCCGGAGTGACCTCTGGTGCGGGCTCATCGGGCTCCCCCCGATCGCCGAGCGCGATGCGACGTAAACTGCCCGCGCCCTTGGGTTTGGCCCCCTCGCGCCCCCAAAAGCTGCGCACCAAGGGTCACTCTTACCCAGGGTCACTCTTAGGTCCAGCCGAGACGATGACGGCGACCGCGACGCCGAACGACGAGGGCAATGGCGACGCTGGCGGCGGCGGAGAAGGCGGCTGCGACGGCAGGCGGCGGGGCGAACGCCGCCCTCGAATCGCCTCGAAACAGACCGCCGGCGAAACCGACCGCCGGCGGAATCTATGCCAGCAAGACCGTACAAATGTGTATTTCCAAGTATTCGAAAGTTCTTTGATTTTTTGGGGGTGCCAAGATCCCTTCATTTCTACTTCTTCTATCATGGGCCTCTTCCTGGCAACTGGGGGGCCAGGAGCAATTAGAAACGAGCAAAATTCTTTACGCTTCGCGTGTCCCCACCAGCCCATCTCACAACAGCAACTCATGCGAAGCATGCCGACAGTCGTGTTTTTCAGGCGTGTGTCCATTTGGCCCCGCATATCTCCCCTGTTCCTCCTTCCTCCCGCCTCCTTGTACATCATCCTTGTGGGGGCAGCGGGAGAAGGACGAGGCGGAGGAGGAGGGAGAGAGGCCCTCTTCCTGGTGTGAGTCGTTCGGGCTCTTCGTGGTGTGAGTCGTTCGGGCTCTTCGTCCTGGTGTGAGTCGTTCGGGCTTCTCGTGGTGTGAGTTGTTCGGGCCCCTCATCCTGGTGTGAGTCGTTCGGGCCCCTCCTCCTGGTGTGACTCGTTCGGGCTCCTCGTGGTGTGAGTCGTTCGGGCCCCGCTTCGTGGTGTGAGTCGTTCGGGCTCTTCGTGGTGTGAGTCGTTCGGGCCCCTCGTCCTGGTGTGAGTCGTTCGGGCTCCTCGTGGGGCCTCTTGGGGGCCTCTTGGAGCCTCTTGGGGGGCCTCTTGGGGGCCTCTTGGGGGCCTCTTGGGGGCCTCCTGGGGCTTCTGGGGCCTCTTGGGGGCCTCTTGGAGGCCTCTTGGGGGCCTCTTGGGGCCTCTTGGGGGCCTCTTGGGGGCCTCTTGGAGGCCTCTTGGGAGGCTCCTGGGAGCCTCTTGGGGCCATCTTGGGGCCTCTTGCGACCTCCTCAGAAGCGCAAAGAAGCGCTGCCCCCTGAGAAGGACAGAATGAGCCCAAAACCATCGTAAAATCAATGATTCTGCTATGAAGGAAGATGAGCGCGGCCCCCTTCGGGAGGCCAAAATGGGGCCAGAACCCTAGTAAAAGCAAGGATGTTGGCTTCACAGAAGAGGAGGGGGCTACAAGAGTGCCCCCCCGTCGGGGCCAGAATCCTCGTGAGGGTCGTCGTTTTTTGGCCCTCCCAGGAGTCGAAAAAGACCCCCTTGACCACCCGCGGAACTCCCTCTCCAGGCCCAGGGGGAGGGGGTAGGGGGAGGGGTAAACCCCTCCCCGAAGGGGAAGAAGGGGGGTTGAGGACAGAGGGGGCTCTCTAAACCACTCACGCCCTAAAGGGCTGGTGGGATTAGAAATGAGCACGATAAGAAATGAACGACGTGTACAAGGGCGAAACCGAATGAGGGCGAAACGGACCGTGGGCGAAACCGACCGCCAGCGAAACCGACTCACGCCCCTCTCCCCGCTCCCCCCGCATCATCATCACCAGCAGCAGCAGCGTCGTCGTCGTCGTCCTCGTCTTCGTTATCCTCCTCCATCCCTGCCTTCGTGCCCTCCACCCCCTCCTCTCTCAGCCTTCGTTTTCCTGCCTCCCCTTCTCTCCCTGACCTCATCCATGCTCCCTGTGCTTCTTGTCTTGTCTTGTTCCTGCATTCTGGTCTTGTTCCTCATGATCCTCCCTCCGCCATTATCGCCCTCGTTCTGCCGTTCATTATCCACCTCTCCTCATCCCCTTTCTCCCTTCTCCTCGTCGTCAACGTCCTGCTCTCTCCTCATCGTTCTGATCCTCTCCATCCACCTTCTGCTCGTTGTCCTTCCCGTTTTGCTGCAGGACGCCCTGGCATGCAAGCCGCTTTGCCTCCCGAGGGCGGTCCGTATCATTCCAGCGATGGCAGGCAAACACGCTGGTGAAGACCTCGGTCGGTCCCGGTCAGATCAGAAGGACGCCATGGACGAGGAGACGGACGATGAGCTGCTACCTGGAGCATCCAGCGCTGCACCTGGTGAGAATGGCGAGCCGTCAAACTCCACTCTGCCGACGCGCGTGCAGAGAATGGACAGGAGCTTTAGAAGAGACACGAAGGGTGTGGAGGACGACCTGAAGAAGGCCGAAACAAAGGCGGAGCAGGCTATCGCGGCGCCCACCATGGTTGAGACCATAGCAGCTGAAGCACTTCGACTCGCTCGGGATGCAGCTGCAGGCTCATGGCTCAGTTGCCTCGATACGCGCGTTTTGAGACGCAACAAGTCCCGTGTTCAAGACGTCCGTGTCAATTCGTTGCGTGTTGGCTCCACGTATTGGACCACGTTGTGGCGAATGTAACCAAGGTTGGGGCCATAGCAGCTGAAGCACTTCGGCTCGCTCGGGATGCAGCTACAGGCTCATGGCTCAGTTGCCTCGGTGCGCGCGTTATGGGACGCAACACGTCCCGTGTTCAAGACGTCCGTGAGAATTCGTTGCGTGTTGGCTCCACGTATTGAACCACGTTGTGGCGAATCTAACCAAGGTTGAGACCATAGCAGCTGAAGCACTTCGATTCGCTCGGGATGCAGCTGCAGGCTCATGGCTCAGTTGCCTCGGTGCGCGCGTTTTGAGACGCAACAAATCCCGTGTTCAAGACGCCCGTGTCAATTCGTTGCGTGTTGGCTCCACGCATTGGACCGCGTTGTGGCGAGTGTAACCAAGGTTGATACCATAGCAGCTGAAGCACGTCGACTCGCTCGGGATGCAGCTACAGGCTCATGGCCCAGTTGCCTCGATGCGCGCGTTCTGAAACGGAACACGTCCCGTGTGCAAGGCGCCCGTGCCAATGCGTTGAGCGTTGGCTCCGCGCGTTGGACCGCGTTGTGGCGAGTGTATCGCGTCGGACCTACGTGTTCAGCCCACGCGTTGAGCTCCGCATCGGCGCGGTGCGTCTCGCGCGCTGCGTCTCGGGGCAGCTGCAGGCTCGTGGCCAACATCGCGCGCATCGGCGGCCGCCCCCGCGAGGCCGCCCCGGGGACCTCCTGCAGGGCCCGGGGGCGGCGACGCGTTGAAAATCGTGGGCGGCGGCTGCCCCAATCCCGTAGAGAAGGACGAGGTGTTTCCTTCATTGGACGTGCCCGAAGCATTGGTCACACCAGGCCCTGCGGCAAGGATTTGGCGCGCGAGCCCGGGTCACTTCGCTGCGTCGCGCACGCCAGACGGCCGCGCTGCGTGGGCCTTACTGCGCAAACGCCCTGAGAAGGCTGAACGGGATGCTCTCCAGCGGGCGGATCATGGTCGAGCTCGCTTTGTTGCACAGGCCCCTCCAGGCGCCGCCCCTTTGAGGGCATGTTCTACCGCTGCCGGCGGAAAACCGGGGAGGGGTCACTGGGGGCCCCCAGCCCGCCCGCCCCCCCCTCGAAAACTGAAGGGGGGGCACCGCCGGATCGAAGCCCCCCCCCCGCCCAGCCCATCATGAACAGGGGGGGGCCACTACCGGCTCGACCCGCCCACCCCCGAAAACCGGGGGGGCGGGGGTTCACTACTGGTTCGGCCCCCCCCCCTTAGCGGCCGGCAAACGATCCCCGCTCCTCGGGACAGATGGACAATGGCGGGGGGGCTGGGACAGCGG